CCCAACTCTGCCAAGCCCAGCTGGAAAAAAATGTTGGAAAAGGAAACAAAATCCCCCAAACCAAGCAGCTGCCTCACTGCTTGCCAAGGTTCCTGTCTGCTGTGCATCCCCTCGCACCTAAATAGCCACCCCCCTGCTGACAAGCCCCAGGCAGGCCATGCCATCTTGAGTACCTTTGGTTCCCATTTGCCTTAGGTCTGGTTACTAGGGAGCCAGACACCCCATGGTGTGGTAACGGGGAGATCCCTCTGCAGATTCACTGCCTGACACCAAGCGAACATGACATTGCTTGGGCATCGACCGGCCCTGGAGCTGTGGGTTCTTCATGTCGCCTGGCTCTTTGGGCAAATAAGCCATGGTCCGCCTAAGCCCCGAAAAAGCTCCAGCAAAGGTAGGAGGATTGTCTACCTAATTTTATCTTTGTTTTTCTGTGCCAGGGGAAGGGATCCTGATTTCTTCAGAGGCTGCAGAGCTCCTGGACTTCATCGATGAGCAGGGACAAGTGCATGTGATTCAGAAATACCTGGAGAAACCTCTACTTTTAGAGCCAGGGCATCGCAAGTTTGACATCAGGTAACCTTTTCTGCTTTTGTACTAATGCCAGTTTTCATTTTCGTGATGTTTCTTTTTAAGCCACTGGGACTAGAGTTTGTTCTCTCACCCCCCAGGAGCTGGGTTCTCGTGGATCATCAATATAATATCTACCTCTACAGAGAGGGTGTCCTGCGGACCTCTTCCGAACCATATAACAGTGCTAATTTCCAGGACAAAACCTGCCACTTGACCAATCACTGCATTCAGAAGGAATATTCCAAAAACTACGGGCGGTATGAGGAAGGGAATGAAATGTTCTTCGAGGAGTTCAACCAGTATCTGATGGATGCCCTGAACACAACACTTGAGAATAGCATCTTACTGCAAATCAAACACATAATAAGGTAGACAGCTGCCTAGGGGAACATTAACCCTTCAGTGACAGGGAATGCATATGGACACAGCTGGGGAAGCAGAGAGATTGACAAGGGAAGTGTTTCAATTGCATAAATTTGAGATCAAACCATAAACACCCCAATGTCATCGCTCAATGAAAAGGGACCTCCATAGGTGGTCAGGGAAGAGGGTAGGTGGAAAGACAGGGCTGGGAGAGGTTGAGATTAACAAAGGTATGAGATGTAAGAGGGGAAATGAAGCCAGACTCAAGTCTGCAGGATCTCACTGCTTTCCCCACCATCGGGCAGCAGCAGGACATCTCATCGGCATAGGTCACATTACTCGGTCCACACAGGGCCAGCTACCTCCTGGGTACGGAAAGTGCCTGGAGAGAGCGCTCAGAGATCACAGTGCCGCAGAGAATCCAGGTCTTGAGTAATCCTTCATGGCAGAAGTTACTTTGCAAGTACCTCATTGCTGTTACTTACACCTAAAAGACATGACATGATCTTTGAAGGACTCAGAGGGAAATGAGCTCTCGATGGCAGTTCCTTGGGGACCTGGTGCTGCCCTTTGTGCCTCTGCCTTCTGCTCCAGGCTCTGACTGCACATCATATTTTTCAGCTTGCCTAATCCAGTACTGAGGGTGGATGCTGCTCTCCAGCTCTTTGGGAGTTAACTCAGGGGTATCCCCACATGTTTTGATGGTTACACGATGTCACTTGAAGGGACCTAGTTACCATGACATATGTAGGATATAGCTTGTAATTTGGGGTAGTCCCAGGGCAACAGGGGACCCTTCTATGCACATACTCTCAGAAGCTGCAGTCTGACAGCAGGTCTTTTAATCTTGAGTTTCTGTTTTTCCCTTCACAGAAGCTGCCTTATGTGTATAGAGCCTGCAATCAGCACGAAGCATCTTCACTACCAGAGCTTCCAGCTCTTTGGCTTTGACTTCATGGTGGATGAGGAGCTGAAGGTCTGGCTGATAGAAGTCAATGGGGCCCCAGCGTGTGCCCAGTGAGTAACTGGTTTCTGTAATACCCTTGTGATGCCACCATTCGCAGGCCTGACCCAAAACGAGGCAGTGTCCCTACTCCAAGTGAAAAAGGTGGAAGAAAGTGAATGGCAGGGGTGTTTTCCAGGCTAACCCATACCGGACACTGCTCTAAGTGCCAGCTGATTTAAGTTCATTGCTCCTGTCTCTGTCTTTGGTATCCCCCTGCTTCTTTCCCATGTGAGATGGGACACTAACCTCAGTTTTTGGACAAATAAGTTTGAATATGACTTGCGTTGTTTTTATTGACACTCTTGTGTTGAAGTTATGTTGCAGAATTAACGCTTTGGGGGTCAGGTGGTTTCTCGGTCTCTTTTGTGAAGCCACTGGTGGCTGGTCTTTACCTGAACACATGATAATGAGGAGCGTTAAGGGCAGCAGCTGGAAGTGAGCAACTGAATTTGCCAGCAGCAGAACCACAGAGCACACTGTGGTTGCTGCAGACGTTGGATCAGAACCTCCACCAGCTACAAGGAGGCTGGGACAGCCAAACAGCCGTGGCCATGAACATCTCTGCATAGGCACAGCGAGAGGTGCTGTATTATGTGATTGAGACAACTGCAGGAGACGAGAAATCTTGGCGAAATGGACGTCTGTATTGTATACAAGCCCAGCAAAACAGAACAGGCTGTACATCACTACATTAGAATTTGATAAGATTAGATGTAGATTAGATTGGATTAGATGTAGATTAAATTAGATTAGATCATCCCTAACAGTAGACAAAAAATACAGGTCAAACCCACCAGACAGCCTGTTCAGCAGCCTTTTCAGGGCTTTCTGTGTCCAGGATGCTTTGTTCACCGTGTGCACCGTGGTGCGGTACTGCCTTGCACCCCCTTGTGTTGCTGTATGGGTAGAATTTGGCTGTCACTGGGTGGATTTGGGTTGCAGCAATGCCCTGTTTGCTTTGTGCCTCTGTGGGCACTTGGAAGCCATTGAAAGCATCTGGGGTAGGTTTTGTCTATTTGTGGCTTCTCCTCTTCAGGGTTATTCTGATTTATAGCATCCATATCACGCAGTTCCCATTTAAGAGACAAAAATTGCCTGTCAAAACAGTAACACTCCCAGGAGCTGAAAAAGCGTCTTACTGTCCTGTAGCCCCAAAGGCACAGAGTGAAAGACATTGTTAATGCTAGTAAAGATAGCTTTGGTGCTAAAAATGTCCCAGATACCAGTGTGTTTGGGGAGGTTACACATGTATTTCCTTCAGCAGAAAGTGAAGGTATTGTTAACTCGTTTCTCAAACAACTTGTCTCTCTTCTTCCTAATCCTGCTCTGCGTGGGTGAAAAACATCCCACGCTTCCCGAGGGTCCTGTGTCTGGTCACAAGCTGATGTGCACAGCTGCATCCTGGTGCAGCATCGCATCAAACCATGAATGCAATCAGAGCAGTCGCTGTGGGGCACATCCCCACACGAGTCGGGGTCTGGTGTGATAATCACAACTCCCTGAGTTGGAAAGCCGGTACAGGGGGTGCTCAGCTGCCGTCCACCCCCCATGCATTTTGCGGTTACTCAAGTGTGGGGCCTGAGGATGCGGAGACTCTGCTCAGGAGCCTGTTCTGACAGTAAACTTAGATAATGGGTTTTGTGGTCCCATCTGGCAGAGAACAATATCGGGAATGGGAGCAAAAAAAAAAAGCAGAGGGTTGCTGGGGTAGGTGGGGGAGGGGCTGGAAGAGATGCCACTATCCTCCCGTTTGCCATCCTGGGGCTACCTGTAATGGGAGCAGAATCTTGTAGATCCTGCTGGAAAAATGCATGTCTATGTAAAAATTGGTCGGGGGGTTGCTGGTTTGTCCTGCCTGGGCATCTGATTCTCTCTTTCTCATCTTTTAGGAGGCTGTACACAGAGCTCTGCCAAGGAATTGTGGATGTAGCCATTTCTAGCGTTTTCCCCCTCAATGACACCGGGCAGAAGACGAGCCAGCCATCATCGATCTTTATCAAGCTGTGATGACAACAGGAATGACTATGCTGTGCACAGGGACAGACTGCACCCATCGGGTCAGCACAGTTCGGTGGCTTATCTCAGTATCATGCCAAAAAGTGATAGAGACAGTCTTGTTATTTTCTGGGAAATCATGGGGAAAAACAACAAAACGGGCATCCACACAGAGCTGCGATGAGCCAGAGCTGCTCAGATAATTCTGCCTGCATTCACCAAAATCCACTTTAGAAACAGCTCGTGTGACTGATACCTGAAACAAATCTCTCTGGGAGAACAACAAAATAACCTTAAAATGAAACCCTGACAGGGATACTATAATACTGTATTAGCTCCTCATTTTCTATAGAGATAACATTGGGTTTTTTAAGGGAATTGAGCGAAGAGAATGATAATCTTCCGGGACGTCGTGGCTGGGAAGTTGTCCTCCTCCCGCTGTGTTTCTTCTTTCCTCACCTACTGCATCGTTAGTGCCTTAGCTCAGCTCCAAATAGGTGACTCCTTTCCTTTGTTCCTGCTCTGTTACATAGAAGGGAGCAAGCTCTCTTGCATTGCAGGATGCCTAAAACCAGGAACATGAAGAATTCAGTTTCCTTAGGTCATTTTCCAATCTGGTTGGCTGAATACCCAGGCAACGGCTGGCAAAAGGGTGCTGAACTGCAGGCGGTGAATTAACCCAAGCAAGGAAGGTAATTTTGTTTATTTATAGCTATCCCTTTTCCTAATGAGATTTGAATCAGTGTCCATCCCAGTCTGATGCAGTTGGATTCTGTTTAAAAGAGGTAGAGAGACCCCCCCCTGCCCCCCCTGGGGCTCGCCGGCAGGCTGTAGGATTTCTGGCATCACTTTTGTGCTAAGAGTGTTTCAAATAGCTGAAACCCGTTCTCAGTTTCATCTGAGACACTGCAGTGAATTTAGGCTCTTCTCTCAGCTTTCACCTTCATGCATTTGAGGCTTGAATCTGAAACCTTTCAACCCAAATGATTTTTATCCGGTTTGATCCAGCAAAGTTTATTCTCCTCTGTTTGACAAATAGTGCAATTTTCTGCCCTGAACACAGTCCACGGCTTGGTCCCAGCTGGGGAGAACGTCGGTGAGGTTTTGTAGACCAGGAGAGAGATTTCTTGTGTATAGGTTTGTCACACAGCTGAGAAGGCAGGTATTCTGGGGGGAAGGTTAAATTTCTTGAGGTCCCTGAATTTCAGAGCTAACATCTACTTTGAGCATAACTGAAATCCCTGGAATATTGCCCACCCTTTGAAGTGGATCTGGATTTTCAGTGTGAGGCCAGCCCATCCCTCCTAAGCTAGAGCTCTTTGCAGAGCACAGAGGCGCTTGTAAAAGCAGCGGGCTTTGGAGGGGTGTTCAGAGCTGTGTTCTGTTGCCTATATCAGGGAGAGATGGTTGGCACTGAAATAAACTGGTTCCTGTTACCCAAATCAGACAAACAAGAAGAGATAGTGGAGGTTACAAGCTTCTGGCTGCCTGTGTTTAATGGGAAGTGAATCGAGCAATGGGATTTCTGCCTCCTTCAGAAGATCCTAGTGCTTTGGCATATTCATCTCTGCTCGGGATGGAGATTTCAGAGGTCTTCCTGCCAGCAGATGATCCTGGCACCTTTCTGTAGGCAGGACTGAAGTGCCCAGGCCTCCTTGGAGTGATGCATTTTCATCATGCTGTCATGGGATGGATATTCGTTGGGACATGCTGTGAATCCATAAGTGGCCCCATTCACATCAGGCCACTCAAATGCAGGAGGGAACAAGAGTGCTTGGCAAAACCCTGTGGAAAAATCGCAGAGAGGGCATATCCCAAAGAGCTGCGCAAGCACCTCTGAAGTTGTCAATGTCCTGAAGCGCAGCGTGGATCCACGTCTGTGTGAATCCGCATCTGCAGGTGGTGTGGCAGATGCAGTGTGCACTGGTGCATGCTGCAAAGTGACAGGGAGCAGGAGCTGTGCAAAAACAGGGCTGCGGCTTTGTTCCGCTGCACTGCAAGTGCTGGCGGGTGGTTTTGCTTCCAGCGAGACCTCAAGTGCCAGGTCTGGTCTCTGGATTTGGGCCTCATCAGTGTTCAGAAGAGGGGTGGTGAATGCGTTGATTTGTGAGATGGGAAGCGCTGGGTCGTAAGCTGGGAGAGGGGTGTGGAAGAAGGACTAGTTGGGTTTTTTAACCTTATGATAGCACATAGGCGTCAAAATTTCACTACAGGCCAGGTAAAGTGTAGCGGTAACACTCCAAGGTAAAATACAGGCTGTAACGGTTGTTAGGTACTCAACTTGCAAAGTTCACCATGTCTCCATTGGCATTTTCATTTGTTAGCTCATGTGAGCTTAAAAATTACACCTTTTTGCCCAGCAAAGGCAAGATCTAGTAGCGATCACTCTGGTCCAGGATGTGCTTAAGCTGACAGAGGAGATGTTGCTCTCACAAGCTCTAGGGCAGATGAGAGCAGAGTGAGAAGTGAGAAGAGGAAATTTTCCCCATCATAATGAAATGAGAAATGCTGATTTTCTGGGCTGCTGGACCCATCCTTTTCCCCTCAAAAGGCAAATTAAAAAACCGAATTGCTCCCTTACTGCACAGTAGCTTTTTTTTTGACGTAGTGGGATAAAGGCAAGCAACCTGCCTGGATGCAGGCAAAAGCAGCGGCTCTCACTGGAGCAACTGGTACTGTTGGGAGGAGCAGTGATTCAGGAGCCTCTGCCCAACTCCAAGGCCTTTTCTTCCCCCTTTTTTCACCCCAGATTGTGTTGTGGCACATCAGCAGCTGGCTGAGTTTGCTGCTCAGCTGAAAGCGGGGCTTCAACTTAGTGACAGAGCCATGACCACAGGCGATGCAGCTATTCATAGGCTGCCTTTTCAGCTGGGCTTGCAGGAGATAGTGATTCAGAGATGCTTTAATTGTGGGCTTGTTTGCTGAATTTTTAAGAAATAAGCAACAGCCTCTGGAGGAAATCAGCAGGTATCATGTGTATTTATCACTTGCTCTCAAAGCGCTCCCCAAAGTAAAGCACAGGAGGTAGATGATAAAGGACAGAGAGCACAGTGCCTAAGGTCTTGCCCAAAATGTTAAGGTGTGGGGTGGAGTAGAAGGTGTGCATATTGCTGAGGCCTGAGCATTGCAGCTGTGGGAGCACCTTGCAAATGATGCTCATGAGCCCTTGTGAGACTTTGTTTCATTTTTTTTAGGAATATACAACAATAAATCTTTTCTAGCTCATTTCAGCTAAAAGGTTAATAGAAAGGGTCTTTTTTTCCCAAGCTTTCACAAAGGATGGTGCTGGGTTTCCAGAAGACACCTACCATATTGCAGCATGTCTCTAGTCGTAGTTGTATCCCTTCATGTCAACCATGAAGGATTTCAGGCCCGGGTGGTCCAGCTGTGTTTTCCAGCAGGGTCTGGACCCACTGGACTCTGGGTTTCAGGTAACTCCCATGTAGCTTGTCTCATACCAGGTTAGTCGTGATTACCATGCAAC